TCTTTCCCTTGCCTTGTTGTAGTTTTTAAGGGCTCCTGCATTCCTTCACCCAGATTGTGAAGAAAGGAAGGCAGAGACCATAGATAAATAGGAATATGATTTGGGCAAGGCAGGCAATGAAAGTGGGAAGACCGACTCTGCCTGCTGAAATGGCCCACCCACCCTGGGGCAGTGAGCCTCATAAAATCTCTTTGCTTCACCACCGCCACCACCCCGACTCCTGAGAGTGGATCAGCCCCAAGTCCTGGACCCCTCAGGATCAGGGAGTCAGGCCCTGCAGGGGGCAGTATGGCCCAGACACCTACTAGAACATCCTTACTCCTGTAAACCTAAGAAAGGAGATATTGACTTATTTTTAAATCTTATGTTTTATTTAATTTATTTTAAATTCCCTGAAAGTCAATGGAAAGGGATGCTTTTGTAATAATGGAAGGGCAGTTAAGGACTCCTTCCTTCCCCACCTCTCTTCATCGAGGTCATGTGCAGCCAGAATTATGCCCCACTTCTGAGCAGTTCTTCCTGCTGTCTAACGGTAATCCATCATACTGCCTGTATGTTCTTGCTTAATCTTAAACGAGGTCCCTCTGTCCGACTCTTTCTGCCCTGTGGCTCCAACAGTCCAAGGCTTGCTGCCACCCTGGCTCAGGGGTCCTTTCCTCTCAAAACAAATGTGTAAGGGGGGGAGTGGTGGCATCTGAGATCCAGACTGGACTGAGGCTGTGGGGAAGGGGAGGAGGGTGGTGGCCTCTGGGGTGCCCCTGGCTCACTTTTTCCAGAGCCTGATGCCCTCAGACACTGCAGGAGGCGGTGAGAGGAAATGAGCTCACACTGGCCGGCAGGCAATTCCTCCCTCCACAATGCACTGCACTCACCTCCCCCACCCTCTCCCACTTCCCAGAAAGTGCGCTCTTCCCCCACCCTGCTGCCCTTCCCACCTCTTCCTGCACCTTGACCTGCACCCCCATCCTGTCCCGGCCCTCCCCCATCCACCTTCTCCAGCACCTCTTTCATTCTTCCTTTCCGTCCTGGCTCCCCAACCCCTCTGACATCTGTGTCTCATTCCCTGCATCCCACCATCCACGCCCCCCAAACCCACTCTATTCCTGGCACACTCCTTCTCTGGGGACTAGGGCAGGGAAGCCCAACATGGGATGGAGGGTGTCCCTCTCTGAGGACCCTCTTTATACTCCCCCTCTTTCTAAATTCCTCTCCCAGCCCAATCACCTTCCTTCATTCACAAATGTTTATTGGGAGTCCTGATATACCGTGGGTGGGAGAGTGGAGGTTGCCCCTGGGGATAGGAGATAGGGTTTAACTCCTTCCCTTGAGGGGTCCTGAGATCCCAGAAATGGAGCCACGGGAGGCTGGAGAAGCAGAGGAATTTTTCCAGAAGCAGGTGCCCGTAATCTTTTGAGGGCGTCATGGATGGGACGGGGTGGGGTGGGCAATGGGGGGAGAAACACTCCAGGGAGAAAGACCATGATGGACCAAGGCAGGGAGGCAGGAGAGAGCAGACTCTAGCAGTGTGGCTTGAGCCAAGCGGAAGGTCCGTGGGCAGGAAGCGCGGAGGGATGAGGAAGGAAATGCGGGTGGGGATGTTACAGTGGAGTGACTGTGCCTGAGGCACTTAGATTCTAGCCTGGCTTAGGGCAGGGGTTTAAGCGGAGATGTGCCATGGCCACTGTGGTGAGACATGGAAGAGAACACGGAGGGCAGCAAGGAGCCAGGGGTGGGCGGCCAGGTGGGGGGGGCCCTGCACCTGGGCAGGGGCACCAATCATCAGAGGCCCCTGGATCTTGTTGACCAAATGGGAGTTGCGGGAAGGAAATGGAAGAGTCTAGAACAACTCCAAGGATTCTCGCTCAGAATATTAGGTAGACGAGTTGTCTGGAGTGTTCTCAGGGAGAAGGGACATGCCAGGCACTGAGCTAAGTAATCCTTTGTATACATTATTCCAAATTAGCCTTACAAAGGAGCTGTGAAACAGATATTATAATCCTCATTTACGGATAAGGACACTGAGGCCCAGAGGGCTTGAGTATCTTACCCAAGGCCATGCAGGATTTGAACCCACAGCCTTTGGGTTCCAGAGTCCACACGCTGAAACCTCCAGGCTGTGTAGCTGGTCGAGTAGTGATTGGCAGCTCAAACCCTGGGTCCACCTCCCTGAAGAGAGGCCTGAGCTAGAGAATGGCTTTGGAAGTCATCGGTGGATCAGGAGTGTGGTTCAGGTTCTCCAGGGACAGCGCAGAGCGGAGACCAGATGTAGGATGGGACCCAAGGGCACTCACCTTTTGGGGCAGGTGAGGAAGGAAGAGGCAGCAAGGAGGACTGAGGAGAGAGAGCCAGAGGAAGTGGCACTGTGTCAGGCAGGGGATGGGTAGGGTGGAGGCCAGCCTGTGCAGTGAGGAAGAGCATCAAGGGTGAAGAAATTTAAAAAAAAAAGGGGGGGGGGGGGAAATGGAATTGGGCCGCTGAGACATTTACCCGGGAGGGACCACCGGACACA